TATCAGTCTCAAACTCAGTTTAGTGTTTCACAAAGACATGCCTGCAATGGTTAGGAAGCCATAGTAATACGAAAGTGCAACTGCTTTGCTGGAGTTAATGCCCTTGAGTCCACTAAATCCACAAATACACAGGATACTGAACTGCCGTTTCCCAGCTCGTGCTCTGACACGGACCTACAGCAGCAGGAGAAGATGAAGCATCTTCATATTTCTGTGTTCATGGTCAGTGGTGACAGCAAGGGCCAGTCTGCAAACCTGCAAAATGGGCGAGTATCTCTGCTGAAATGGAAAGTATGCACGGTATCGCTTGACATTTTCTATATATGCAAGTTTATATAATTATGACAAATAGCAGATTTCAATTACAGCAACTTTCCTGTAAGTAAAAGCTGGAAGTTTCTAAGAACTATTCTGACTAATGTGGTACAGCTCTTGGCTGTGCTACAGCTGGAAAACAAAAAAGCCCTTCATCAAAAGGTTGCAACTGCAACTGCAGCCGATAACGCCAAAAAAAGCTCAAGTTAGGGGAATCTAGGCTGGGAGAGAGGGTGGGAGGTGCTGACTCCTGCACTTGCTGCCATTTGTAACGCTGGGGCCGGGAGCCGGCCGCTGCCTCTCCTCCATGCAGCGCTGCAGGGAAGGGGAGCAAGGTCCCAAAACCTCCCACGGAGAATGTCACTGCTCGCCCAGTCCCACACTGCTTAGCACCTCCCGCAGTGTGACCTGGCTGCTCCTGGCATCTTCCACAGGTGGTTCAGGATGGAAATCCCCTTCCCCAAATACCTTTCCTGGACGCAGAGGTGGGTTTTGCAGCCACACCTGCCTTGGGTGCAAGGCAGTCAATTGGTACGGGAAAAGCAGCACCTCCTCTCCTTCAGGATGGTAAAAAAAGTCAGAAAACAGCCGGATGGGGATCACTCTTGTATACAGCTTAAAATTACATTCTAGGCCAAAGTTTTTCAGCAGAAGTTGCACTGGTGGCATTTTATTTCAGCACAGTCCACTAACTCTTATAGCCAAGCCCAGTAAACAGCAAACAAGCTGTGCCCTCCTGGCAGCACCCAGGGCAGAGGGAGAAGGCGGGCACAGCCCCACAGCCAGCAAGGCCACCTGTAGCAAAAATGAAGCCATCTCTGTGATTCGGGATTTAGCTTTTTCCAGCAGAAGCCCCCTCCTCACAGCCGGCAGGGCAGAGGCTTGCCAAGGAGCAGTGAGCTGCTGCTTCTGCTCCTGAGTGCTCGTGCATGTGCATGAGTGGGGCACCCCAAATGGAGAAACGCTTCTGAAACGTGTACCAGCAGCGCTGTGCACAGAAGTAAGCACATGCCCACTTTTCTCTGTAGCGGGTGACGCTATGCTCCAGCAGGGCTTTTGCATTTGCCTTTCACTTTCTGACCTGGGCCAGTGAGTTGGTGCACTACAGAAAAGGAAGGGCAGGCATTTATTCCTGAGACACCCACTCTCCTCAGTAGATTCCCGCCAGTGTAAGGACAAGGACCATTTTGCCTTTGGCATCCCCCACCATGCAGATTTGCAGAACATCTAATTCACAGGGCAAGGATCAGACCTGCAACACCAGGGCTGGATTTTGTACAGGAGCTGCCACACTGCAGCACTTCCACTTTCCCCATAACGCCATTAAGCCATGTTGCAGGCTGCAGTTTCTCAGAACAGACACAGTTTAATTGGTTTTATTTCTAGGCTTAGCACTATACAATTATTTTCCAGGGAACAAATGTAATCTTTATTCAATACAAGTGTGATCTGGGCCTCAACATAAAAAAAGAAATTCCCCTTGAAGTGTAATGCAACCTGAATCCACATCTGCAAAATCTAATCAAAGGATGAAATGCATCCTTTTAACTTCAGAAAGAATGTGGTATGTGAAATGCATGATGGATCTGGAGTCAGCCCGTGAGAGGGGGCAGATGGGATGACTCCAAGAAAGACATAGAAAGAAGGGATATTTAGAGATCTCAAAGGATTATCTTCTGTTCAGATGTGTAATCAGCTTGTTGCATTCTCCTACCATTCACTTCAACCCCTCCCCATAAGGAGACCAGTTTCTGGCAGGTCCAACGAGAGGCCAGCCCCCAGTCGCGGGGAAGGCAACCTTAGAGCCAGCTTCAGGCCGATATTGCATGTGTTAAGAAAATCAGTGAACAATTCAGTGAGAATTTAGCTGCTAGCAGTTCCATCTGTCCCTTCCCCAAATAAATGGTATAAAGGAAAGCAGACCTCCCCAACCCTCAAATCATAGCTTTTCAGAGGATCATCCTCATGAGTGGCCCATGCAAAGACAGCAGCTGTGGTTAACAGAGCACTCATGGTTTTGCGCTAGACCTGGGAAAACCTCAGCAGAAGGAAGGGTATCCTGATTGTAAAGCTGTTTTATGTAGCAACACTTAAAGCTTATTGACTTGATTGCAAGAAGATTAATTCCTGAGCTGGAGCAAGGCTGAAAGGGGTCAGCTCAGCCCCTGGTCCACCAAAACGAGCCACACCAAGATCACAGGTCATACCAGGACGGCAGGACCCAGCCCATCACCACCACCCCTCCCTGCCCCAGGACCGATTGGTGTTGATTTCTTGTCCCCTCCACGGCCCTGACCTGCAGTTCAGCCTCCTGGGGCTCAGCTCTCCCCTTTCCACCCAGCCATGAACCAAGCGCAGGCATTACTTCAGTGTAGCAGCTCCTGTATTTGACATTTCACTGAAATCTTGTTTTGACATTTGTGATGTAATTTGGAAACGTTGATCAAGGGTATTCAGATAAATAAAGAATAATGGAAATATTACGTCTCGTTCCTGATCTCCAGGGAAGGGGAAAAATGCAAGCTGCTCACCTTTTATTGCGTTACTCCGCGCCAGCAGGGAGTGAGGGGTTTCCAGCCCATCACTGCCACCTAAGGGTGCATACGGTCGCTGGGACATTCACATCTCCCCATCAATTCCTCACAGATGCAGACACATCTTTCTGTTCAGTTTATCCTGTCTAAAACCACCCATATTCATCACTCATTACATCTGTGTTACTGAAGACACTACAAAAACTATCCAGACTGGGAACACAGAAATTAAATCAGATATTTAGTCAAAAAATGTTGTAACCACAAACATGAAAATTTAAGAGAGAGATTAATATGGAAGAGAAGATGGTTTTCACTAAGAGCAGGGAGAGTTACTAACTCATACAATACAACCATGATGCCTTTGAGACTCTTCATCACCGGTTGTCGGCTTTTCAAAAAATAACAAGAGCTCCTCATTTTCATACCACCTACCAGCCTACATCCCCTACAGCATCTTATTCATTTTGCATGTGCTTTTATGATATACTCGCAATGCAGTTAAGTAAATGAAGTGTTTGTTTGGTATACATACCTTCATCTCAGTTTTCCCAGGATTTAATCATTCTAGATAATCAAGACTACTCTGTTTGTGTGTCAATATACATAATTGTTTGCTGCTCAGAAAGTACAGTGCCTAGACAGGTTGATAATTATCTTTGTACTCCGTACTTCACACTGAAATGCTGTATTGATCTGGTATAGCAAGCACAGTCTTAACTTTAATTACAACAAATAGAAGTCTTCACCTATTTAAAGCACTGCCTGAGCTCAGACACTGTGCTGGGCCACGCAACACAAGCAGGGCTCTGCAGTCATCTGTAAGCAGACGTGCACAGGCACCCTCCATGCTGGTTCCCCCCTCAGGGAGGGCAGACCGATGCACCACAACACAGGTTCAGTGTGCCCGCACCACTACCACTGCTGTGCAAAGCACAGCCCCACCACTTCTGACCTGCTTTATCATCCCAAAACCAGGCCCTAGGATCTCAGCATGCTGCCCGCACCACAGCTGGCATCCACTGCCGCTCTCTGACCCATCTGATCCATCTGCTGGTGGATCTCTCCCGCTGTAGCCCCTTCCCACTCTCCGACTCAGCTGCCAGCCTCACTAATGTGCCACACACCTGCACAAATGCCAACGCAGTTAATTTGGAGCTTGTCAAGGTTTTTAAAGCTGTACTTGTAACTATATATGCAAAGAATTATTTGCTGAAGTCTTTCCACAGAAATTAACACTGATATGCTGCTTATGCTTAGAGTCGAAAAGAGATCCGGACAGTAGAATAACAATATTTATCCTGTAGAAGTTAATAAAAAGCTACCTGCAATGTTTCACTGATCTTACAGACAGGCTAACCAAGAATGACTCAGAATAACCACTCCGAGGGCTAGATGAAATACATTCATTTCCATCTCGTGCTCAGCCTCTGCCCCGGCCGTGCAGAACCCCGAGGGCTCAATTCTCCTACAGCAACAGCAGACAACAGTCATCCCTGCTTGGGGTACCACCAGGGCTCACAGCAACTGGCAGCCAGCTACAGCCCTATCGTCTCAGCTACAGCCCTCTCGTCTCACTTGCACATGTGTTAGGGTGTTCTGTACCATAATCTAAGGCAGGTGGCAAGATCAAATCAGCTGGTGAGTGAAGTCACCGAACTCGCATTTCGTGTCAGCTCTCAATCTGAGAAAGAAACAAAACAAAAAGACACCCCCAGAAAGTCTAATTTTCGTTTAGTTTGGGAAAGCTAAATGTTTTTACCAAGATCTGTGCAGTCAGTCTTGTAACAAAGACCTGCAGTACTTGTGCCTCTTCTGTGGTTTTTCAGCACAGATATTTAGATAAGCCACGGGGAAGTGGGCAGGAGGGCTGAGGTCTGCTCAGAGATGACACTTTGCAGGGCGCTTCAGGCAGCTGCACATCACCTACCACAAGCAACCAGTGCCTTGAGGCACCTGAATATTCCTTGCCTGAATACTGCATGATAGGTTGCTATACATTAGAATTTAAATCTTTTTTTCTTGACAAAAGTAAAAACATCAATGACATCATTTTTCCACAGGAAAATTTAAACAAATCCAGGGTCATTTTATCACCTGATTTTGAATGCAATTAGTACACACAAATGTCAAAACAAGTAATACATCAGGGAAATTCAAAGCATATTTTAATTAAAATGAGTCGCATTCCAAATATAAACCAAATCATTACCACAATTAACATTACATGATTCTTTTAAAAAAAGGAAAGAATCCTCTTTAGAAAGTTACTATTGTTTACCAGGTATTGGATTTTGCTTCATTGTCAATACTCCATAAAATATCAAGAGGTGAAAAAGCATTTAACCACATTTCCAACCTAATTAAAAAAAAAAAAAATCTAAGTTAAATCAACAGTTTTTACGTTGGACTGTTGGATTAGAAGATATGAGAAAAATTAATTGTGCATCCTGAGGAGCAGGAACAGAAACCAACCCTTTTGACCTAACACCCTTGCAGCACTAGCATGGCAAATGAGAAACACTAATCTCCACTGAGAGAACCGGGATAATATTCCTGAGTGTGCATCATGGCTGTTCTCAAAAACAACTTATTTACTCCATAAATCCAAAGCCAAAGGATTACAATACAACAGAAATGGACCCACAGGAGAGCACAGACTGTGTGCCCCAGGAATCCAGCGTTGGATTGAACAGATTTCAATTCTCAAAGGCAAATCAAAGGAAAATCATTAGCAATTTGGCTTTCTGTGTCACCTTCTTTAGCCATTTCAATGTTCAATTCCAAGTTCTGGTTTTAAACGTCAAGCCTTATGGTCTGCAAACTGCAACAAGAAGGAAAAATGAGAGATAATTATGCTATGCACCTATATCAACCATGCACTTTTTTCTTCTTTTCGTAAATAAGATATACTTTAGCATCAGATTATCTTCATGCTCTGTGCTGGCATATAGAAATACATGCAGTTACTGTTGCTAATTTTCCCTATCACAAACAAAACCAAAAAAAAAAGAGAGAGAGAAAAATAGAGGGACAAAAAGTTTCCTGTCTGTACAGTACATCAAACTACTATACATCTGCTACAATTGCTGCAGGGCTCAAATTTATACTTTACCCACCAATACCACCATGTTCTCTCACACAGACAAAACTCTGTATTTCAAACACCTTTATTTTTTTAATTCTTTTTTGCGATGCAGGTGCCTGCAGGGATGCAGAGGTGGCAGAGGAGAACAAGGTAGTGCTGAACCTAGTTCTGCCTCGGCCATTGACTTGGAGCTGACTCAAGGTCCACCAAAGACTGTGAACTCTGTCCTCAGCGTTGCAAGGACTACTGAGGAGTCACCAAATCTGCAGAATTCCCACTCAAAGAAAAAAAAACAGACAAACCAACGAGAGTTATGGTGCTCCTACAGTATGAAAGTACAAGTTGGGAGAAGGGAAGAAGGAAAGTCCTGCTTTTTTAGTGTGGTTATTTATTAAACTTTATTCCAAAACTTGCTGAAACCCATCTTAAGCATGTGCCTTGCTGCAGTCCTTGGTTTGTCTCCTTCTCTTTGACCCCCTCACCCGCCCCACAGTATGGCAGAGAGCATGCTGCCCTGATGAAACATTTTCACTGCCTGGTAGCAACATGTCTAATACCTCCATTTGCCTGTGTAGGAGCAACATGTGATCAAGTGGATACAAACAGGTTAGGAAGTATATTTAGATTTTGTAAATCAAAGTTTTTGACTTTCCAGGAGTGAAGTTCTGTATGAGGCAAACAGGATACCTAAAATTGTAAAGACAGAATAACAAATTTTGTGGATGGGATTGTGTGACAGCAGTTGGCAGTTCCTGAGAACAAAAACTATGCTTGCAACAAGATCCAAAGATCTAGTATGCATTCTTGAGCAATGGATATCCCAAGATCTCCAACAGCATTTGAAATGACTGGCTGGCGCTTTGCGTGCAGCCATCCCATACCTCTGGGCTCTGTTTATTGCCCACCAGGATCAATAGGAAATTCTCCTTCCTCTCTCCAACACATAATTATGCTTATGAAGGTTGGAGGGATTTTAGTCTTCCATTGAAGCTCTGAAGAACAGACAAAATTAGAGGCTGAGGCAGAGTGCCCGGCTAGGCTTTAGGCATCTGGTTTACATGCCTTGCTCACACATTCAGATCTAAAGCTGCCATGAGATTTCACATCAAGAGGAATTCTCCTGCATACCCAAAGGTCAGTGACCTCCTTCTGGGAAAAAGAAAGGACCTTTCACACCATGTGGTCTGCTTCCTAGGATCATCTGGGAAGCTCACCTAACAAGTTATCTGCAATTGCAGAAACCAAAGACATTGGCAATGCCCTGGGTAAGTCACAGCATGATAAATACAAGGTACAGTACAACATAGCATATTCTGCAATGAAATACTGGTATATCAAACTGCAGTATCTGCAGCTGCCAAAGAGGATCCATCAGACTGATGTACTGGTTCAAAGTCAAGTGCCCATACTTCATACTTTTCAGTTATGACTAATCCTTTCTAGTTTAAAAAAAAAAGATTAAAAAAAAAAAAGCTTGCAAAAACCCCCATTATTCCTTCAGTCACAGCATTAGCCGATCCAAAGCATAGCACAAAGGTGTGTAGGACCGAAAGACAATACGCATTTAACCAGCCTCTCCCCTGCATATATGCATGTGTGTATACTCATACACAAACACATATACACCTCATGTATTTTAGGAAACCTGCCTTGAGAAGAAAAGACACAATATGGCATCACATTAATCACCAAGTAAAAAACCAATTTTAATCTATTGTCTGAAATACAGAACTGTGGGTAGAGGAGTAGAAGTAGGGCTTGTAAAGGAAATAGCGTTACTCAAATATTGGACTTAGTGTCTGGTAGAAGCTCTTTTCTTGAAGCTCCTTAATATATTTCAATCCTCTCTAAAACTATGACATGAAAAATCTGAAGCACACACTAAGCACTTCGATGCCTATATGACAGCCTCCCCTCGCTATCCCTGTCACTCAGATGCCAGGGACATCCCGTCCGCTCTAAGAATCTACATGAATTAACTCATGACTGACAAGGACTGTAAATTTCACTGCAGAGAGAAACCTAACAACAAAAGCTTTAAAACCCTACATCCACTCTGCAGGGTCTGCTTATGAGTAGTTTAAAAATTAAGTGAGGTAAGAATTACCAGCAGTTTAGCGAGAAAGGAAGAGGACTAGAGGGGAAATTATTTTTAGAGTGACAGCACTAAGGTAACAACCCACTTACCGCAGCTTTCAGAGCTTGGTCTAGGTCTTCCAGTAAGTCTTCTTCATCTTCCAAACCAACTGACAGGCGAACTAATGTATCACTGATTCCAAGAGCTTCTCTGTCTTCTTTAGGCACTGAAGAGTGAGTCATGATGGCCCTGGAGGAAAAAAATAGCCTTTTTTCTAAGAAGTGTTTACTTTCTATTGGTAAAGACCAAAGAAATTGGCTTCCTGCCAGCATCCCCTGAAGTTCCATAAAGACTTTACACCTTCTGTGTACCACCTGCTGGTTAACCCACAGATGGAAAGAGATCCTATCATCAGTTACTGTAAATTATGCGAACTGCAGAGCAATCAGTGACTTGTATCTCCCAGCGTTTCAACACAGTATTTCCAAGCTACAAATGATTAATAAAAAGTGGATACTTAACAATCTGGAAATGACAAATGAGGAAAAAAAAAATCCTATTCCTCTTCCTTCCAGATTTTTTTTAGTTTTTTTTCTGAAAAAAAGTATCTAAAAGCTCTACTTTAAGCATATGGAGAAACAGCTATAGTATACAATATCCAGTATAAAATCTCCAGATGTTTTTTTTTTAACTTCTGTTTTCTCAGATCACTTGTCAAACTACCACTTACATTGAAGAGTTTATTATCCCCAGCTATGGAGGATATAGGTAAGAAGCTATTTCCCCCATATGCTCAGTCACTGACATCCACCAGTTAGCAATTACCTTTCAACCGCTTGAGTGTTTTAAGATTTGCTGTTATTCTAAGATGAGCAACTGAAATGATTTAGCATATAAGTTTAGTCATAACTTTCCATGTATCTTTTTGAAAAGCAAATTGGATTTAAGTGAAATAATCTAATTCCATAAAAATCCTATTTTTAGCCTTTTAACCTAAACAAGAGCAACTAAGTATTACTAAAATCCCCACAAAATTTACCTGACATGGAGACAGATGCAGTTCAGTGTAGCATACTGAACATGCCCTCTTGTGTAAGCAGGCAGAACGGCAAACCTCTTTCCTCAACAGTTTGACCACATCTGCTCAATACTACTTATTCAAACACACGCTGATTTCTTGGATTTGTTATCATAGCAACAAATTGCAGCTCAGTCTCCCAGTTAAAACAAGGAAGCACGGAAATTCTTTCATCATTGCATTCTTATATTCACAAAAGTCACACTCATTTCTGGAGTAGCCACTGGTTTTTGTGCCGTACAACATACTATCCTTGAATCTCAGTTATATGCAAAATATCTTAGCTTCATGTACTAGAAAATTTTAGAACTCCCATCAAAATACAGCAGAAACTTTTTTGTTACTCTGCAGCTTTTTTAGACTTTTAAGATGAAGAATGACTTACGGATGCTCTGCTAGGCTTTCATATCCTCCCAGACTCTCAGCCAGTGCAAAAACCTATGGGAAAAATTAAACAGCAGTTAACCTAAGAAGTGTAAGTTTATGAATGCTTAGAAAGAGACAGTTAATGAAAAAGGAATGTTTAGTGGTTGGGGGGGAGTTTCCTAAGTTTTTCTATAGTAACTTTTATATTTAGAAAGGTATTAGCTGCAGTTCGGGAAAAAAGTGTACATTTAGCAGGTAAGAGCTATTAAGATTTAGAATAGACTTGTCCTAAAAAGGTTTTAAAGAGACACTGATGCAAAACTGAAATAACTCGGGAGTAGTTTGTACAATGCAATGCATGGGCAGCAATGGAGGCAAAGCAGAAGGGAAAATGCACAACATGAGGGAGCAGGTTCTGCCTGGGCACCACCAGAGTTTTCATTCTGTTCAGAGGAAGGATAGAGCAGACTGCCTGAACAAAGTAAGAGTCAAATCTCAAAAATTTCAGTTAAGGTTGAAGTGATTATATCCTATCCTTACATACTCTTCTTTCAACATCACTTAATGTTCACATTTAACACCTACGCTTTTCAGGCTGGCAAATAGCAGACTTGATGGGGAAAAAACCCAAACATTTAAGATTCTCCTCATAAGGCTGGACAGATTTTTTCACTCATTGCTTGGGTCTGATGGTTAGTTTAGTATTTTGAAAACCGGCCTAAATTTCTCAGTGCCTAACAGGACTAGTGTTTGTGAAATGCTTACTGTTAGTTAAGGTTTTTTTAGCACTGCTCTTTGAATTATGGACATATATTCCTGGATGACAAAAAGGCTCTCTAGAGAGCCAACTGCATTCAAACACGGATTCACGATTTGTCTTTTGTGAAGGCACTTACTGCCCTCAACATTTCTCTCCAGCCCTGGTTGCTTATATTGACTATTTTTTCCTTTTAAAAAAAAACCCAAACAACTAAACCTATCAACCAAAGAATCCTCTGCTCAGCCTGGTTTAAGGAAATGGCTTTACTTTTGTACCAACCTAGCGACAAACTGATGGTTATCCAAGTTAAAGGGCTGAAGTGAATATACTCATAAGGGACTACTTCTGGAATGTACTCTCTGATGCCTTTTGTCAAAGCTGGTAGATCTCCTGTGCCAGGATTAAATGCTGTCTCTCACGTAAAAGGGTATTTTGTGGGAAAATCATATTTTTAGTAAATTCATTTTCAGTTGATGACATTAGCTGGCAAGTAAGAAAGATAGGGAGGGGAAGGAAGTTCTAATTTACCTTTGTCAATTATTACTGATTTGTTTTTCCAAGAACAAAACAGCAAAAACGCAAGAGCAGGATACAAATTAACCAGAGATCAAGACTAGCAAACACATTAAAGAGTACAGGCAGAATTAATACATTGCAAGACAAAAGCAAAAGCCTATGGTTTAGGTAAAGTACACAAACAACCATCCTCCAAATTGAGGGACTCCCTCTTTGCTTCATGACTCATGTCATATCTCAATAGGTTTTTCTCCTGATGAGTACTTTGAAATATTACAACAGTGTTACACCAGCCACAGCTTCTCTGCTTTCAAATACTACAGGTATTTTTGCAAAAGGCTGGTATGCAGGCCCTTTATTAGAAGCAGTGCCTGGCTAACCTGGATATACTACACCCTACTGTGTAAACAAATACTTCAAATGAGCCGAGGCATCCTTTTCTTCCCTCTCATTTACAAAGAATCTATTATTTAGAGATGGTTACACCCAAAAGACTTAAGAAGCTTTGCAAGTACAGAGAAAGACTCTCCCCACCCCAAGAAAAAACACTTCCTTCCATTATCACCCTCAGAAGGACAGGCTCAAGTCCCTCTAAGGTAATGCGTATTTACCATCATTTACCTTTAAATTCTCGAGAAAGGTAGCAGCATGTTTGAGATTTCCTTTAATGTAAAAGGTTACCATCCCAGGACAGCCCGTACACTGCCGCTTGATCAACTCATGCTGAGGGTGTGAAGGCAAGCCTGAAATTTGTAGAAGTTGCTTTAAGTTAATTACCATCACTTCAAAGGGTAAAGTAGCTCACCCTCAGCTATGTAGAAACAGCCCATTGCCAAGGCGGACACCTAAGCCAGAGTCACCAAATGTGAAGGGTGCACAAACAACACGTAGTATTACAGTACCCAAATCCAGCCTCACTCTAAGACGTCACCTGCTCTGAAGTCTTGCCAACCTACCTGGGAAAATGACTTTCTCCACCCGGGAATCTGACTCAAGAAATCGAGCAACAGCTAATGCATTGTGGAAATGTTGTTTCATCCGGATTTGTAGTGTCTTCAAACCACGATTGCACAAGTAACAGTCAAAGGCAGATGGAACAGCTCCAAGAGCTACAGAAATTGAAACAAAATTCCACATAAAACAAAGGGATTTGTTTTTAGTAAAACTAAACAGAGTCCTAATTTTCAAAATTTCTAAAGTTAGAACAAGACAGGTGGAAAGACTTCTGATGCAATCTGTCTTCTTCATCTCACACACATGGGAAGCCAATTAATGAGCTGAATTAACAAACTGAAGACTCAAGGATTAAATTTACTAGACATACCATACCTTTACTCCTTCTGTTGTAGACAGGAGGCAGACAGAACACTGTACAGAAATTTATTCATTACAATTAAGAGACAGTAAAATTGTTAAAATCAACTTACATATGAAAGTTTTGCATTAGGCATATCCTCCGATGTATGAATGAGTTTAAAAAACCCCAGATGTACTTGAGATGAGTTAGATGAAATTAAATAAAGGAGTAATTTAAAGGTTTGTATCCCTCTTCATGTATGAAGTCAAGTGAATATAGGAAACAATTGTGCTCTTTCTACCACTTTCTTAACTATAACCTAAAGAGAGACTTTGTAAGCAGTCATGCCCCATGTAACTGCAGGTACTGCACATGGGAGACAGACCGCAGCCACTCTGCATCTGATGCTTTCAGGACATGCCACATCTCCTGCCTCTGCGCATGATGCACAGAGCACAGGCAGAGCTCTCCACGCCACACCAGCGTGTGGCTCCAAGAAGCACACTCGAGAGACGCTCCGCGGCTCAGTCCTCCCTCGAGAGCAGCGGGGCACACACTTCTCAGGGGAAAGCAAGGATAGAGGGGAATTACAGTCCTGCAGTGAAGAGTGCTGCCTGCATTCAAGCACCTGCCACCAGACAATTCACCCCACTCACCAGCCCCTGGTAAACAAATGTTGAACAACCCACACTGCTCTCAGCACTTTTCTAGAAGCAGTTAGGAAGTGGAGACCTGTGTCATTAACTTTATTTGAGAGAGGAGCCACAGAGGCATACTGAAAGCTATCGTATTTGCGTAAGACCACCCTACGTACCAGTGAAAGGCAGGGAAGAGAATTCAGGCTTCCTTCATCTGTGTTACCACTTTCTCTGCAGTCATTTGCACTTCTGCACATTTAAATGCCTGAGCTACATTTCTAGATAGATTTCATACTTGTGTGCATGCAACATGCTTCCCATTACAAGCTACATACAATTCATTTTAAGGTATTTCCTACATTGACTACTTACAGTTTTGTAAGAATTTCAGCCTTTCGTAGAGATCATCACAGTTTACTGAAACAAGTCCCATTACAACATCACTATGCCCTAAAAATGCAAGGAGAAGACAAGAACAGAATCAGCCACCCCATCTGCTCCAGGGTTCTGCCACAAACCTCCATTTTCTCAGTCTTGGTGCTAATACAGTCCCATTTTTGCAAGACACTGGGTTCCTTCTCATTGCTACTGCTATCCTTCCTGTGCAGCACATGAACCATAAAGCAGATTTCAGCTTTTTCTAAAGCTCTGGTCAGCAGTGTGCTCTGCCGTGTGCCACACACATGCCCCAAGACACTTCCCAAGCCCGCCACCGCTAACTGCCAAAAAGCAGGACATTGTACAGGAATCAGGTGTGTCCTGCGGAGCAGCACCAGGCTGCTGTCTTAGCGAGAGTGAACACCCGCTAGAAAACTTCCACTTCTATCTGCACCACCAGGGACATATGGTTACAACACAGCTACAGTCACGTTAGCTCCAAGTCTTGGCTGTTTGGGGAACACCACAGTGAATGTGCTTTCGGACAGGCTCCAACACAGCTGTATGAAACCTCCTTTGAACCTTAATATAATTTCTGGCAGCTACCTTTTACTGAAGACACTTGCTTTGTTGTAGTCAACTTAAAGCCAACATGGCTATAAACACCTCTAGGTCTATTACCTGAAGTAAGGTCAATATTCCTTCTCCCAGGGGCAGTTTAGGAGCTACAAAGACTAATGGTCTATTCAATGGTCCACCTGCTCTAATGGTCCATCTAAGAATTACTGGCAGACACGTTGGCTTTTGTGAACTGCCTGCAGCCAGAATGGCTTTTAGCCAGCCTGAGTTGTGTTGAGCTCACATACTTACCATTCATATATTTGGTTGCAGAATACATACAAATATCAGCCCCCAGAGATAAAGGACGCTGAAATGAAATGAAAATAATAGGTCCAATTAAAGCTTGTGTGCACTCTGGTTCATTTCAAGCTATCCAGAAAGGCTGTGATCCGACACAGAAAATAACAATAGGTGGAGAAACTAAAAAAACCACAAAAACTTAACACAAAACTTAACACCTTAAACACAAAAACTTGAGAATGAAGATAGACAGAATATGTGTCAAAAACAATAGTACAGGAAAGCACTCTGAATTCAAGATAAGTACAATAAAAAGAACCCACAATAAAATGTGATTTAAAAGCACTGGTCTAATTCCCACCGGCTTCAGGGAGAGGAGTGATTGAATACATCTAACATACAGCCTGTTCGTATTTGTGAAAAAATTAGTTATATCGCTTAGCTGAGGCAGGGATAAGTAGTGGTATTTGCTGTAAAGTATATTTCCTTAGAAAATGGAGACCTCAGCACAGTCTGCAAAGCAAAAAAAAATTGCATTGTTTTCTAGATATCAGTATTGGTGATACTGCACCGAAAGAACTGAAAACCTGAAGAAAGTGCAAAGAGTTTCGTCTGCCAGGTCTCTCTTCCCTAACCTCCCAGCTTTCTTCCCAGAAGCCTTTTTAAGGTGAGGCAAACTGAGATGTTGATGGGCAAGAAGTAAAGAACAACACATTTTTTTTAATCAGTCATTAAGTGAAGGACTCTGCGCGTAACATAAATGTATTATAAAGACTGAAGAGTATCAATATGTTAAAAGGTAACAAAGCAAGCAGATTTAGAATAAAAGACTGCTGCTGTCAGATTAAACACAGACGTCTATTCAAGGAACGTGCATAATGTGCATTCCCAATGCGCAGCCAGGAGAACGTTAGCATAAACACCAGTGCCTTTTACATTCAATATTGCTACGTAAATCACTCTGAAATTATGATCTTCTTAGTACAGTGTATCAGCAGCAGTCTGGAGGGGTTTAAAGACATTACCTATTATGCTTACTAGAATTAGTCATTACAACTGACTTTCTCTTAGCACCAGGCCAGTAAGATACATTAACTAGCTCATATATCCAGATGCTCACTTTTCTTTTCACACATGTCTTTCTGAAGTAATATACATTGCGGGGGGGAAATCACCAAGCTTTTGGTATGTAGAAGACAAACTCAAGTGCTGCTTTAGCTAAGCATTAACACTTTCTGTAAACTCTCTTAATTTATAAAGATCTCAGTACCCTTAACAAAAACAAAGACACCTTGCCTTTTGCACTCATAAAAAAGTTTTACTTTAGACCTAAAATATAAGGGATTAGTTTGATCTCCTGGGAAGTATACATGAATATTTCTAGCCCATGTTAAGATGAACAAGACTTTGAAGTTTATTATTCCAAAGCATTTTTAGCACTTAAGAAATTGTCTTCATTTCATGTATTCTAGTTATAAAAGCAGAAAAGTTATGCCAGTTGTTCGAGATCAAAATTACAAACTTCTAAGCCACACATTCACCAAAATATTGAAGAAAAAAGTAACTTGGATGTCTCAAAGAAAGATTTAACAAAGTTTGCCTGTTTTAACTTTTTCTTCCACTACCTTTTTTAGAATATCAAGTGGTTCAGAACAGATCATAAACAGCATACACAAAAGAATTGGTATAAAAAGGCCAAAGTTAAAAAGTGTCCTGTTTTCTAATAGGCCTGATTTCCATCAGTGAGAACTAAAAAACATGATTTTTGAATGACAGAGAAGCCATTCTCCCAATGGCTTACCTGACTGTCTTGATTCAGTGTGTTTACTTGACTGCTGAGCTATATTGGTTTTGCTGGTATCATACTGGTATATGGCTAGCGATAAAATACTTTGCATACCATCTTTACTAATGTAAACAGCAGCAGTACATGGGTTGTACTTAGAAACAGAACAGGTCATTTTACAATGCACAGATCAAAACTACAATTCCTTGGTGGTGCTTCCGTTTTAAAAATGTATCTTCGAATACACTGAAATAATGGGGTAATTGTAAACAAACAAAGTGCTTACCTGGAAATATGCAGACATAAAAGTGTTGTCTACCACTAGAAGAACATCTTTATGCTTATGTACTACATCTGCACAGGCCTGAATGTCAATGACCTTCAGTGTGGGGTTTGTGGGCGTTTCAATCCAAACGAGCTGCAGTAATTCAACAACACAAAACATCAGTTTAGAGATTTTACAATGCTGGTGATGATACATGTGTAAGTCATAAATGCTTTTAAACTTTAAATCGTTGAGTGTCAGCTTCCCATGCAGGTTTGCAGAGTGGAAATAAGAAAGTGTCCCTACTGAAGAAAGGCAAGGTTTCTTGGGAGAGGTAATATTCTCCACAAAAACAACTGATGCATGGGAAGAACATCAAAGCTTTTGAAAACCCAAGTGCATCCCATTTGAAGAAGGCCTGACATAGCCAGAAGAAAGTCTTTACGCCCAAAAGTTTGTAAGCCTTTTCCAGCCGAATTATCTTCCACTAGAGCAGGGAATTATCTGCTCCAGTGCCATGGAGCACCTCCTCCTCCGAACCTTGGTGTTCCCTCTGCTGTTTGTTACCTTTTCCCTTCTCCTCTCTCTCTGTGGTGTTTTTTGCCCTTAAAATGTTTCAATGAGGCACCACAAACGTCACTAAGTGGCCTGCAGTGGGGACGTGTTGGAGCCAGCTGTGCCCCAACCTGTCTCCACAGAGGTCACCCCTGCAGCCCCCACTGCTTGACACATACACCCAATACAACAAGAGCAAGAATAAAATTATTTAACGACATTAAGCAAGTAAGTTCAGCAATTTCCCTCTCCCCTACCTTGGTCTCTGGTGTAATTGCAGCTTCCAGGCATTCCATTTTTGCGCAGTCAACAAAAACTACATTCAAACCCATTTTCATGGCTACTTTCCTGAAGTATCTGTTTGTCCCTAAAAAAAACCCAAACAAAACCAAATGAAACAAAACAAAAAATCAGAGACGCAAAATGAAACAACTTCCTTAACTTTCCTTCACTGATCTCCAGTCTCTTGTATGCATCCATGGAAAGTCAGGAGGGTACAGTTTTATGCTGTACACCATAAATGGCACATTATTATTTTTTTATTTCTAAAATGTTTAAAGACTGCTGTAGCTTTAAACATCATGGAAAAGTAATAATGGGAATATGGAATCAGAGTGATTTATGAAGTACTTTCAATTAATAACTGTTTGGGGTTTTTTTAATCAGAAGATTAAATAGACCCCTTTTAGTTTGCCTGCTTCTAAGTTTTCCTCCAGCCCTTTGCCACGCGCAAGCTAGCAGTTCCAGTTTTTATACTCTCTTTCCCCCACCCCACTTTTAATAACTTTTTTCCACGACATATTTTCAAACTCTTTTTTTTATTTAATAAGCTTAATTGAGAATCTGGGAGAAGAAGAATGAAGGGGAAGACTCCAGGTACTGTGTTTCTTATTATTCCATTAAATAAACTTGCAGCGAGGAACATAAAAAAGTGATTATTTCCTTCCTTTCTGTCTTTGAAGTCTTTCACTGGAAAGGTTAAAAGAAGAAACCAGAAGCAATGAGTTGATCACTAGATGTGCAACATACAGACTATCTGGAGACACTGCCTGGATTAAAAATTAATTTATTAGGTCTTTCTGCCAAGGTTATTCAACATTTACTCACTTACACAGAACAGCAGTTTGCCATCTAGCCATAAAGTCATAGTACATGCAGGGTACAATTTTGTGTGCTGAACACTACGTCTGAATGATTTTTTTGTTTTTAAGGAAACACTTTTATTTGTACAATAAGCTATATTCTCTCTTGTGCTGTAAGAAGTTTATTCAAGCATGGGAAATTTTCACATCGGCTGTCAACTCTACAAATACCAACCACAGAAAAGTTGTTTTAGTCTTACATACTTTCAATAATAGCACACTACAAAAAAAACTTAGATGGAAATGAGAGGTTACACTGAAAGTAGCCCTTTTAAGAAGTTACAGCAATGGCTCAGAATTCAGAGGTGTCAACTACCTACAGCTCCTCACACCTCCCAAAACTCAGCGTCTCTTAAACACATCCCAGGCAATACGCTTTCGAGCATTGCCCAAGAGCTTTTCATTTTCTTACTGTTTTTCTGACAACCTTGAATACTGTGGACTCATTTGAGTTAGCAAGCACAGTACTGCTTTCCTATCCAACCAGGCTTTTCACAAAAAACATACTAAAAGCTTACCAAAGGTAGTGTACCCTCAAGGGAGCAGGGACACACGCCAGCACTCAGTACCCAGTGACTCAAAGGTTGCTACTACAGGGCTGAAGTATGAAATGCTGCGCAGGGCAAGCATGGTGGAGGAGTAAAGCCCGCATGGTAAAAAGGAGTCAGCACAGACAACACCGAGGAAATGGCTGACAAAGGACCAGGCTGCAGTGTGCAAGAACACGAGCCGGAAAGATGACTAAGAACAGCCAGAAGAGCACAGCCTAGGAGAAAAACAAGCAGGGATTTAGGGGACAAGGAGCCCCTAATAGCCAAGGGAAGAATAAAGGGGCTGAACACATACTGGCCACGGCAGCCAGTGGCATCTGCAGATGTACCATGTCATGGGGTGTGAACTCTACTGAATAAGGCTGTCTGTGGGGAAGCCAGTCTCTTTACAACAAAAGTATAAAAAAATTCAGGGAAGAAACAATGAAATTCATCTCCGCAGAAACCACCACAGGCTGAGGCTTTAATGAGCAGGCAAACTGGTTTTGCTTGAAAAATACACCTATGGGCCTTTCTGAAGTAAGGAACTGACAGTATGCTTTGGCCAAATGACTTTGATTTACTGAGTTCTGTGGTGGGAGGACCGTGAATTAAAGGAGCAGATTGTCAGTAGGGATTCCTGCTGTCTTCACTCAACTTGGCTCCAGATGTACTTTGGAGAAGAGCTATCTGGCATGACAGAACTAAGACATTAAAAGCAAATGTGTGTATTTATATCTGATATGCACAAGGATAGAGAACTGACTGGCAAATAGTAATCACTCCTAGTGATGGGAAAAGTGATTATTCTTGCTAAAAGGTTTTCCAGCTATTGCTTGGGAAAATGCTACCTGTTGCTGGCCTCTCTAACCTTCCTTTGAAAACAAAGCAGATTTGATCTCTTTGTGCTAAAGCCTTGAAGCAGATGGAGGGAGACAAGCTTCGCTGATCAGTGAAACACGAGTTGGGCACTAAGGACACCGATTATCACAGCTTATCCTGGCAGACTTCCCTACTACGGACTTTTGGGTGGCATCAACCGTTTGAAGGACTTCAGCAGAGGTGGATGAACTCTGTTTGTTCCTAGGGAGTTTCTTGGAAGAATGGATCAAAAAAACTATGCACTATCAAAACCTAATAGTGGGTTGCAGCATCACTGAAGCATTCAGAAGACATGGGCATAACAGATGCAAGTTGTGCTATCAGGGAAGATGGCAGAATAGTTGTCTGAAACAGTCCAGACAAAATGCTGGTTGGTAAAGGGTCAAACCTAGGAAAGGAGTAGTAGCAATACCAGAAGCCGGTAAGCTGTGTTACATTGGACTGCAGGGGGTCCTGCTCTGCAAACAAATCGGTGCAAGGCTAGGATTGCTATTTTCCCCTCATTCAAGCATATATTACTAGTTAGCTGTATTTTTTAAACCTCCACGTTGTGCCGCAGAATCTTTCAGTGTTTGAATTTCTAACACCAAAATCAGACAGGAGTGTTCTGTGTTCTCATGAAATGAAAAGGCTTTAAAGAAAAGTAAGGTCCTACATGGGAAATTCAGAAAGTTCATGAGAATCACAAATAGGTACATTTAATCATTTGCACAATGACGATCAAAAACATACTTGTGCTTTACATACCTCCATAGACGTCATCCATGCAGATAATCGTGTCCCCTGCCTTTAACAGGTGAGTAATATTCAAAGTAGCAGCTAAGCCAGAAGCATAAGCTAAACCTAAAACAGAAAAGAACAAGTGGCAGACAGACTGTATTTTAATGTGATACAACCTTGTCAAACTCCCCTTTGCTTTCCTCACTTTGCTTTTAAAAGGAACCTGTTCTGTCACCCTCACTTATGCTATCTCTCTTGTTAAGTGGATTCAGTAAAAGCAGCAGCCTGATTTTACACAGGGTGGAACCCAGGATGAACACTGGTAACACAGTCTCGTAACAGCTGCTGCGGGGCTCCCGCTCTCCACTGCATTCAGTGCTGCTGCACAAGGATGGATTCAGTTTAGCGTAGGCATCAAATGCAGCAAGATGAAGCAAAGTCACTATGGAAAGTCCAATGATTGAGCTGGACTTTCCTGAATGATAAGTGTTGGACTCTCTTCACGCCATGAAGCAGCTCTTGCCCATAACCAGTAGTCAGTGGCTGTGAAAGCCTTGCTGTGACACAACTGCTGCTGACAACTCAGTGTCCTTGCTCCCCAAGTTATGTCTACTGTAGACACTGTCAGGAGACACACATGCTGACATCTTGCTTGAGGAACCTATTAATTGCTTACAGTATTTAGCTCCATCTAGCGCTGCCACAGCCTTCTCCAGGCAATTCCGGGTAGGGTTCCCACTCCGGCTGTATTCATAACCCTATTGTGAAAGCAAGAAAAAAAATATAACTTGAGAGAGCACTGAGAAAGTTTTGTACAATAATAGTCCTAGGTTCCTTAAAAAGTCCTCACTCTCAACACTGAGGTTATGCATCCACCTCCTCCAAGAACAGCAAGCTGGTTTTCTGGCTACGTCAAGCTGCTGTACACAACAGCCGATTGGGCATCCCCAACCTGAAAATGGTTTCTAGGGGTGCACTGGGGGAAGTATCATACTGCTAGCCACACCCTCCTACTTTTTCCTCGATATCCATCTCTGGTCACTGTTGGAGAAAAGGCCTTGGTCTGACACAGTCCACTCATTCTTATGTTATCAGCAAGAATGTGTCCCATCTCCATGACGCTCTGCTTGAAAGATGCTATGGGGCACTAGCCAGTGCCAACCTGTACCCATCAAAAGTTCTTGAAAGTTCAAATGTTTCCCTGGCATGCAATCAGGTCAAGTTCCACACTTCAGTGCAACAGCTTTTATGTGAATACTGAGAAAATTTAACAAGAAAAAAAACACTCATGTATGCATGGATGGACTTGTTACAGAGAGAACCTGGCTAAGCTTCCTGGTATTTGCGTACTTTCAGGATTTCTGTTTAATGACAACTTCATCATATTCAGGAACCTGGCAGACCGCTCTCATGGAGCTTCCGGCAGGAACATGGCCACTCTATCATCAGTACGTGAATACAGTAGCGTGTGACTCCTTCTTATGTGGTCTTCTTCAACACAGCTACCTACTTACAAGCATTCACAATTTTAGTCTGTGTAAGTGATTTTGTGTGGAATCAAAGATCACAAGGCAAATTCCTATTGCCCAACCAGCACACTGTGATGTTCAGACCTCGGGTTTGGAACAAATACTGATTTATGAGTTGCGAATTTGTGTCATTTCCCTCATACACGCATGGTAGCGAACAGAAACTTCATGATAGTTCAATGCAAACACTTCCAGCACTTTCTACAATACATCCACAAAATACTTATGAAATATTCATTTGGTCTGGAAGGACAACTGAAGCAGCCTCTTACACAATCTGTGTAAACGAGAAAATGTATTCTGCCTGAGCCCAGCGGCAAAGTAAAGCACTGTTATCACGCAGTCTTCAAGAAAGTCCCCGGCTGCATGCAAATCATCCGACCAAGGCCTGAACCTTCACGCGGTTGTCAGCTTCCTGCACCTAACGCCCATGCACCCAGCAAAGCAGAGGCTGCCGAGTCCGAGGGGCACTGGGTGCTCCCCTTCATGCCGCTTTCACATTGAAAATCACCCTAACTGTGCCTTCCAGCCCACTGCAGGAAAACCCGTCTCTTCCAGTGGGAAAAAGATGTTTGGGTTTTTTTCAGGAGCTAGCAGGAGGGAAAGTATTTCCACGCGCTGCAAACCGAGAGCCCCCCTCCCCTTCCCGGAGCCTGCCGCCTCCCCGGACCCCCCCCGGCCGGCCAGCACCTCCCGGGG